GTCATGACATGTTATCCAATCACGCCACGTTCATCACCCGTAATCGGTGTTATCCTGCCTGCGCGTTGCTCGTGCACGTGAAAGTCGAGCGACTGTTGGGTTAATGCAACCATGCTGGGAGGTTATCAACAGGTGCATATTCTGAAGCTGTGCATATGATAGATTAGTGTTCTCAGAAATGATTATGGAATTTAACCGTGTTAACAACGTATATTGGCCCTGCGTCCCGCGGTAATGCTGTTATCATAACGCGCTAACTTCCCATGAACGGTTGTGTGTTAGTGTTTATCAGAACATATGTCTGTGGAATATAATAAATCAACATCTTGTTCAAATACTTCGTCAGGTTGACACTTCACTGACGAAGACATTTTTCGTAACACTCATTTGAGATTTTCAAACTTTTGATTGGTAAGCATTACCCCCCCCCTCCCCACTCACCTCTTCTCTCTCACCCCCCACCTCCATGATCCCGCACTGTGTACGGTTATCACGCATCGGTGAAAATGGCAAACGAAACAGAGTTACTTGCTAAAAGTAGAGTGAGACAAAACTCAAAATTAATCAGTCTCCCCACACAGCAAACGCAACACGGAGAAATGTGTGCACATCCGTACGGTTGGCATAAATAACGGCATACTTACCAGTCAATACGTTATTATTACTCTACCTTCAGATGTGCGTGTAGATTACAATTGTTTTATGTTTACAGAACACCAGAATTACATCGGAAAGAGCAAAAATGACTACTTTTCAAATGGTAAAATCTGATATTGAACCATATACGCCAATTCCCTCGGTAGTTTATGTAGTACTAGTATTTAACATTTAAGCCCACAGAAAACCTAGAGGCAGGGACAAACCTTTGAATTACAACCTTGGAAACGAACACGAAACAAGCGAACCTAGTCGTACCATGGGCCCGAGTTTGTAGTGCCACCTGCCCCGATGTTCTCAGTCCCTAAAACCTAAAGATGCAATATTTATCCTGTTTCTCAGATATTTGTTTATACTCTGGAAGACTTGTTAAGCACAGAATAACTGTTTATACACGATTGGGAGAAGGGTCGTCTTATTATCCGTTACTAACAATATAAATGCCTTGATTTGTCTGTTTTAAATACAACGGAATATAATATTGTCAACAGCTAAGCACGTCTTGGGCAAATTACGAAATCACAGGACAGTTTATCGAGATAAGTGCGATCCCAGAGGATGTGGAGATTCAAGGGCGGATAACCCTTGACAGTAGTCTTATCACGCTTGCAGTTGCTGCAGTTTGGTGGTTGCTAACCTACCCTCGGCCACCTCTCCATTAACAATGAGATCGTAGTCAAGGAAAGCGATCAAACCTCCGCAGATATTTATATCCTCTCAAGGATAGTCCAGTAAAGAAACATCAAGGCCTGGGAAATATATCACATATCTACCAATGGCATATAGTGGTGTTCAAGACTGAAGTATATGTCAATGGTCTCCATATCATTCTCAGCGCTTTCTCTGGCTTGTTGTTTGCACTCTGATGTATCGACAATGGTGTGTATAATCTCGAGTCACCAAAATCAGATCCTGTGGGTATCGGTCCTTACCACGTGGGTATAGTTAAACACTCTGGCAACCAGGTCAGCGTTGTCGTTGCGTCATGTCACAGTTCGGCTGTTAAAGTCAGGTCACAGGCTGTTATAGACAGGTCACAGTTCGGCTGTTACAGTCAGGTCACAGGCTGTTATAGACAGGTCACAGTTCGGCTGTTACAGTCAGGTCACAGGCTGTTAAAGACAGGTCGCATTTAGCCAAGTACAGTCAGGTCACAGTGATTCTGTTTCAGTCAGGTCACAGTTCGGCTGTTTCAGTCAGGTCACAGTTCGGCTGTTACAGTCAGGTCGCTGTTCGGCTGTTATGGACAGGTCACACATAGACAGTTACGGCTTGGTCACAGTTCGGCGGTTACAGTCAGGCCACAGTTCGGCGGTTACAGTCAGGTGACAGTGATTCTGTTACAGTCAGGTCACTGTTCGGCTGTTATGGACAGGTCACACATAGACAGTTACAGCTTGGTCAGTTAGTTACCGCTTGGTCACAGGCAAGTACAGCCAGGTCACAGTTCGGCTGTTACAGTCAGGTCACAGTGAGGCGGTTACAGTCAGATGACCGTTTCTTATGGCCAGGTCACATTTCGGCAATTACATTCAGACCACAATTAGGCAGCTACAGTTAAGTCAGAGTTAAGTTATAGTTAAGCTATTACAGTCATTTTTACAGCTAGGTAAATTTCAGTAATGTTATATACAAGTAAACCACTATGTGAACTAATCTATATCAATATTTAAACCTTCTCAAAGGCATGTACAAAGGTTTAACATGGCTCATATATATATATAGTGTGTGTGTGCGTGCGTGCGTGCGTGCGTGCGTGCGTGTGTGTAAACATTTAACATTCCCGTATTGTATCAAAGCCTTACTTGGGCCTTTCATGTTTTCACATATCCCTTTCCCTTAAATAAAATAAATTAAATGGCATAATACCGTCACACCACACCATAATTTCATTATGGCCATTAGTATATTACAATTATACATATTTAACAGTCAACATCCCGTACCCTATCCTACATTAATTAAATCTCTTTGAAATTAAAAAAATAAATAAACACCTGCTGATGGGTGCCTTAAAGGTCACATGCAACCAAACAATCAAACATAATTTAAACACAATTATCACTTATTCATGACCTATAATATACATTGCTGATTATGAAAAAAGTGCAATATTTTGTACTTGGGTTTACTTCCTAAGAAACGAAGCAGCCGGGATACCGAACCCAGTCAGAGCGGGTGGGTGTGCACTCAAGTGTAACGGCTGGTTCATTTGCAGATGCCTTCACGGCTAATTGTGTGTGTATATATAGAGATGTTGGGTTTTGTAGAAACGTGCTCATTTTTTGTGTATAACATTTTGCAATCAACAGACATCATAACATGTCATGTGTACAAGTATCACACCTGCCTGTCTGTGTAATTACATGATGTGACAGAGACCGAACTCGGGCCATAAATCAATGCGTTTTGTTTATTGTGTATAGCCTGATAGGTGTTAATTTCCAATTGAATGTGGTCAGTGATCGAAGTTGTGTATTAAATATTGTCATTAGCAGGCAGGCAGGCAGACACACAGGTGTCCATAAAACAGACATTGAGTCTGTGTCAACGACATGTCTATATCCCAGTTAGAAATTCTGTCAACGCTAAATAATGACATTGCTTTTAAGTATCGAACTGTGAAAGTGACTTGGTAAGAAGAACGTGTGGTGAAATAGACAAATGAAATTATATAAACAGTTAAATCGGTAATCTACTGTCACGACATATAAAAAGCTCGCGCCTGTGAAATATTAACAAAACATTAGAAAAATAGCTCACACCAAAGCCTTCATCGAGTATTCACCGGACAACCCGCTTACCAGCTTCGCGAACCTATTTCACTGCGCATGTGCTATGAGCGCAGCCCAGCTGTTGAAACCACTTTTCCCCCAAGCGTTGGGCGAAAATTAGTGAATCGTTTGAGCTCCGATTTCGCGCGGTTTTTTTTCATCGCGTTTATAAATTGATTTTGGATTTTTGATGATTTGTTTCGGTAAGTCCATACCGAAAGGTATCAGAATCTGCAAAGTTGTGTTTTACGTTGCATGTGACCTTTAAACAAATTTCAGATTTGCAACCTGTTAAAACATGGTAGGAGTCATGAGGTTGTAACTTCATTTCTTAACCAATTTGCATACAACACATGTATGTTTTATACCATTGAGATGCAGGGTAGGGTTCGGTTTGTTGACAGAAATAATGTCGAGAATCAGAGAAAGAATAGAGTGTAAGATTTTAACTCTTACCTACCAAGCACTAAATGGAACTGCTCCACTCTGTCTCCAAGCCCTTGTCTCATCCTACGTCCCACCGATCCTACGTCCCACCGAGGAATCTCAGATCTGCCGATCAATCACTTCTTGTTGTGCCTCCATATAAACTCAAAATTTTCGGACATAGATCCTTCAAACATTCAGCTGCTTGCCTGTTGAACTCTCTCCCTACAGACATTAAATCCGCTCCAACTCTCTCAAGTTTTAAATCTCATCTAAAGACATTTCTTTTTCTTCGCTATTGACTGTCTTGTGTTTGCGCTTAGAGCATGGCCAAGTGTTGTGAAGTCAAGCGCATTACAAATGATCTATATTATTATTAACCTGGTGATTGATAATATGGAAACCCATCAATGGGTCATCGGGTCATGACATCACGAAGTAAGCATTGTGGAGACATTGACATCGGTTAGCACGTGAGGTGATTACACATGACGCGCAATCCAGTGAAGGGCTTGGACGTTCTGAACAATTTTGATGTCTAGTTTTTCAATCAAACATGCTACAATAAAATCTGAGTGAATAAGTGGGGTCTACCGCCCCGTCATAAGAAGAAACCGCACATGGCAGCTTTAATATGTGTACGAATTACACTGAGCCTAAGTTTACTTAGACGGATATAGATCCGGGTTACAATTGATCGTCAGCAACTCATGCTTGTCGTAAGAGGCAACTAATGGGATCGGGTGGTCAGGCTTGCTGACTTTGGTTGACACATGTCTTCGTATCCCAAGTGCGTAGATCGACGCTCATGCTGTTGATCACTGGTTTGTCTGGTCCAGACTCGATTATTTACAGACCGCCGCCATATGTCTAGAATATTGCTGAGTGCGGCGTAAAACTCAACTCACTCACCAGCTGCACCGAAGAATAAAATAGTTCCTCAAAAGCTAACGTGATCTTATAGTATACTAAAACTCGTTGGGTTATTTGTTCGGATCCCGGTCTTTAATGGGAGACTACTCCGTGATGGGAGAATGTTCGGTCTTGACATTGAATAAACATGTGTAACTATGGTAACCAACTAAAATTGATAAACAATTACTACATATACTACAGTGTGTTGGTTAGTGAGAGGATGTTAACGTTGAGTTGTGTCCCTTTTCTGCACCACCAGAGTTGTGTCCCTTTCCTGCACCACCAGAGTTGTGTCCCTTTTCTGCACCACCAGAGTTGTGTCCCTTTCCTGCACCACCAGAGTTGTGTCCCTTTCCTGCACCACCAGAGTTGTGTCCCTTTCCTGCACCACCAGAGTTGTGTCCCTTACCTGCACCACCAGAGTTATGCCCCTTTCCTGCACCACCAGAGCTGTGCCCCTTTCCTGCAAATCCCTTTCCTTCATTGTGGATTGAATCCCAGATTCATCTGGCTTCTCAGCACCGTATTCGCTTCTTCATAAAAGTCCGGGGCGGTGGGGTAGCCTAGTGGTTAAAGCGTTGGCTCGTCACGCCGAAGACCCGGGTTCGAATCCCCACATGGGCACAATGTGTGAAGCCCATTTCTGGTGTCCCCCGCCGGGATGTTGCTGGAATATTGCTAAAAGCGGCGTAAAACCAAACTCAGTCAGTCAGTCCCATACCTGCTATTCACAGGTGTTGTGTACTTGTCAATCATTGTTCCATGATTTGCAAAATGGTTCATTGGTGCCATGAAAACCATTTTTATGGTTACTCATGTATCAAGTGCATAAGGTTAGATTAAAGTGTCTGTTTGCCTGAAGAGGGGTTACCATATCATTATTTATCTAGTTTTAAATGGATACAGTTTCAAATTATAAGTCTACGTTTAAGTAAAGTTTTGAATTTTTGTGATCCTTAGCAAAGTGTGAGTAGTATATTATGTCGAATCTGGACCTGATCCATTCGGTTATGTGAGTGAGTTGGGTTTTACGCCTGGACCAGACAATCCAGTTATCAACATCATAAGCATCGATCTACGCAATTAGGATACGATGACATGTGTCAACCAAGTTAGCGAACCTGACCACTCGATCCCGTTAGTCGTCTCTTCCGACAAGCATGGGTTACTGAAGATCAATTCTAACCAGGATCTTCACGGGTTGTTTATCATGGAGCCAAATGGAAGATATATGTTTCTGTTTCCATATTCTTACACACAATAATTACATGCATGTAAACATGTAAACACGTCTCGTGCAGCGTCGTGACATTTGTGTGTGTGACATTATACTTAAAGTACTTAGTTGTTGGGTACAGGCGCCCTGCTGTGGCTCGTATAAGTATACTGTGTCACCCAAACTGAGCTAGCTCTCTCTGTCTCTGTCTCTCTCGCTCTCTCTCTCTCACACACACACATGCACGCACACTCTCTATCTCTCTCACACACACACGTGCGCGCACACGCACGCACGCACAGACAGACACAGACTTGTCCCTGAACCACAACCCTTTTCGCTATGCTAAAGTCTAGATTTCTTTAGGTTCAGGAATCTCCCATCTCACTGGGGCCCCTTTTCAGTATAATTGGAATTATTTTCTGTCAAAATTAGATATAACCAATGACTAACCGTTAGTCTAACACAGACACACACAGACACACACAGACACATACAAGCACACGCACTCTGTCACCCAGACTACCGAGGGCATATACACATGGTTAGTCCGAACTTTACTGTGTGGTGGGTCAGTCAGTCACATGCAGTACTTCCAGTCTGGACGAAGCACCGTCTGATATGGCGGCCGGTTGTAATTGCCCCGTCACTCGGTGCATGGTCGGTGTACCGTGGAGTATACCATACTGAATGATCCCATCGTATATTGGAGTTATACCAATTGTACACAGTGTGTATAGCGGCACTGTCGGTTATTATGTCTAGTTTCGGATCATTGCTATACACAAACAAATGTGTCTCATTCAGTTGCTTTTGGATTATTTTCATAACTTGAGTACGTATGTTCATGTTGTTTATTGGATGTGTACCTGGGATTGGTGGGTGAACCTGTCAGTCCATCAGTCCACCGACCTGGGATTGGTGGGCGAGCCTGTCAGTCCATCAGTCCACCGACCTGGGATTGGTGGGCGAGCCTGTCAGTCTATCAGTCCACCGACCTGGGATTGGTGGGCGAGCCTGTCAGTCCATCAGTCCACCGACCTGGGATTGGTGGGCGAGTCTGTCAGTCCATCAGTCCACCGACCTGGGATTGGTGGGCGAGTCTGTCAGTCCATCAGTCCACCGACCTGGGATTGGTGGGCGAGCCTGTCAGTCCATCAGTCCACCGACCTGTGATTGGTGGGCGAGCCTGTCAGTCCATCAGTCCCGACCGACCTGTCCACCGACCTGGGATTGGTGGGCGAGCCTGTCAGTCCACCGACCTGTCCCCAGTCCATCAGTTCACCGACCTGTTGGTGGGCGAGCCTGTCAGTCCATCAGTCCACCGACCTGTGATTGGTGGGTGAGCCTGTCAGTCAATCAGTCCACCGACCTGGGATTGGTGGGCGAGTCTGTCAGTCCACCAGTCCACCGACCTGGGGTTGGTTGGTGAGCCTGTCAGTGTATCAGTTCATCGACCTGGGATTGGTGGGCGAGCCTGTCAGTCCACCGACCTGGGATTGGTGGGCGAGCCTGTCAGTCTACGGGCCCGGGATAGTGCATAAGATGTGTATACAAGTTTTTGTTTGTTTGTTGTTTTACGCCGCACTCAGCAATATTTCAGCTATAGGCGGCAGTCTGTAAATAATCGAGTGTGGACCAGTCAATCAAGTGATCAACAGCATGAGAACGTTAGTTGCCTCTTACGACAAGCATGGGTTACAGAAGATGAATTCTAACCCGGATCTTTACGGGTCTGTATACTAGTAGCGCGGTTGTAATGCGGAATGTGTATACACGTGGACTGGTTGTAGTATGTGTATACACGTGGATTGGTTGTGGATGTGTATACACGTGGATTGGTTGTAGTATGTGTGTACACGTTAACTGGTTGTAGTATGTGTATACAAGTGGACTGGTTGTAGTATGTGTACACACGTGGACTGGTTGTAGTATGTGTACACAAGTGGACTGGTTGGTTGTTGTATATGTACACACGTGGATTGGTTGTAGTATGTGTACACACGTGGATTTGTATTATGTGTACACACGTGGATTACACGTGGTGTGTTGGCGTGGACTGTTGTATTATGTGTACACACGTGGATTGGTTGTAGTATGTGTGTACACGTGGACTGGTTGTAGTATGTGTACACACGTGGATTGGTTGTGGATGTGTACACGTGGACTGGTTGTAGTATGTGTATACACGTGGATTGGTTGTGGATGTGTATACACGTGTATTGGTTGTAAGATGTGTACACGTGTATTGCTTTAAGGTGTGTATACACGTGTATTGGTTGTAGATGTGTGCATACGTGTGGATTGGTTGTAAGATGTGTATGCACGTGTATTGGTTGTAAGATGTGTACACGTGTATTGCTTTAAGGTGTGTATACACGTGTATTGGTTGTAATGTGTGCATACGTGTGGATTGGTTGTAAGATGTGTATGCACGTGTATTGTGGGATGTTTATGCACTTTGTAAGGTGTGTATACATATGGAGTGGTTGTAACATAACTGGTAAACAGCCCACCGCCACCCACGTCAACCGAATCCTCCGCACAGTATTTGACATAACAGCTGAAGTCGATCACGTTCACAAAGAACAACGCCACCTTTGCTGTCTTCTTGATCGGGAAGGCGGTGGGGTTGCCTTGTGGTTAAAGCGTTCGCTCGTCACTCCGAAGACCCGGGTTCGATTCGCCCATGGGTACAATGTGTGAAGCCCATTTCTAGTGTCCCCCGCCTTGATATTGCTGGAATATTGCTAAAAGCGGCATAAAACTATACTCACTCACAAACAATAACACCACCTTTGCTGTCTTCTTGATCTACACAGTCTCTTCTTGTGCTATGTTGCCCATATCATGTCCGAAGTAGGGAACCTGTGTTTTGTCACGTTTTCATTAAAGCAGAGTATTAGTTGCTATTATTTTTGGAAGCAGTGTAGCATGGCATACTTTCCATCCACGGTATTGTTACCGCTTATGTGCGTTTCTTTTTATGCTGAGTATAAGTTGCGTAGATTGGTAGTCCGACATGCATGGTTTCATTACGACAGCCATGTAATAATGCCGTCAGTCATACTCAGACATACTCCCAGATGCTCCCGCCCACACACGGTGAGTCAGACGTCCAGACAGCCTCGCAGACACACGTGTAGCTAAAACACGTGCACACGCACGTGCATTTGTATAACTTACCACAGCACACTTAACACGAAGTGTAAACCTATTAAGACTGCATGCTAAATAAACAAAACGTCATCACGTCTGCGCGAGACCTTCAGTTGCATTGGCGAACCTTTCCATTCACTTGTGGTACAGGCACATGCATCTTTTAATTGATGATATCAAAACATGCAAAACAACAGTGAAATAAGGCAAAGCAAAATGAAACAGGTTTTAAGCGATGTTGATCCTTCTAACTTTATTCAGCTGTCTCCAACGGTTCTGTAACAGAATGCTCCCGTTTATGACTTATTTCGCCACAGCAAGATTCTGAATCATACAGTGAATACAAGGAGCAATAACACTAGATAAATTCCCAGTGAAAAAAACACTTCTTCTATTTACGAAGTGATCGCGTGGAGAGGAACAAAACGAAAATATGGGGTGGAGAAATTTTGACGTAACAGTTTGCCGACGCGCGCGTGCTTTCTGAGCCGTGACGCCATCCGCAATTGAAGCGTGAAATGTCTGGTTGCGGTTGCGGAATAATACGACATACTGACGTGAGGCGTATGCACAGTTTGCCGGTAAATTCGGTCCGTGTTACCCAAGGCCCCTTCCTCGCCGCAGTCGAGTCGTCAAAAGCAACAGACAGCACGAACTACGGTTAACCGTTCGGGACACAAATCGTGCAAAACACTGACGCGCTGCTGGGCGTTAAACTTGAACTGCCTTCCTGTTGTGGCTTTGAATTTTACTGAAATGTCGGTCAACAGTTTCTGAGGAAAATATCTTATAAGCCATATGCTTTCATGAAATGCTTTTGCTTTATGTGGCGGAAACATATCGAGTTGAACTATAAGCAAGGTGCGTGGACATGTACTTTTGTGCCTGGAACTGTGTAAATTATAAATATACAATATAAATGTTTGGACCATTTTATCATAGTGTGGATATTGTTTTACTACTAGTTAGATTGACATATTTGTTATGTTATGACATGTTTTGTATGTATTCATTTCATTTCAATAGTTATCTACCCTTTCAATGGCTACCTCATCCTCGCGTCATGTAGTAGGACCCAAGCCTTGCTTGAGTGAGTGAGTGAGTGAGTGAGTTTAGTTTTTACATCGCTTTAAGCAATATTCCAGCAATATCACGGCGGGGGACACCAGAAATGGGCTTCATACATTGTACCCATGTGGTGAAGGGAACCTGGGTCTTCGACGCGACGCCAATCTTTGGATATTTGGAGGAGGACGCAAAGTTCTTACTTACCATTTTTAAACAGATATCGATTGTATCTTAAACATCTATTTAAACGTGGTTAACGTTTCTTGAAGATATTTCCAAAAGATGCATGGAAAGTTGGAATATATGAAAATTATGTGCGCTAAACGTTGACCAGCTTAGGCTTTCTACAGTACTTCTGTAGCTTGTCGAAAGAGGCGACTAACGGGATCGGGTGGTCAGGCTCACTGACATGGTTGACACATGTCATCGTATCCCAATTGCGTGGATCGATAATCATGATGCTGATCACTTGATTGTCTGGTCCAGACTCGCTTATTTACAGACCGCCGCCATATAGCTGGAATATTGCTGAGTGCGTCGTAGAACTAAACTCACTCCATTACTCAGTTTACTCACATATACTCATGCACTTCGAGCCATACTGATAATATTCCGATATAAACATTTTGGCTTTTGTTGTTATCTCAATGTTGAGTATATAGAGGATATTTTATGAGTGCCAATGTCATACTATGTTTACGACACGAGTGCCTAAATGTTGGTATTTCCCGATTTTTAGGCACGAGTTTCGTAAACATAGTATGATGTGGACACACATAGAATATTCTATTTATTACCAAGTCGTCAAATTGAGGAAAATAAACCCAATTTACTTTCAAACATAGGCTGACTACCCGCCGTCGCCGTATGTAGAATGCAACGTCATAGAAGAAACGTGGCGTCATAGCATTATTCATGACGTCACGTCTCCACGACAAAGTGATATTTTGCCCTAGGGCATCGTATGAAAAATATGAATCCCGATATTTTCGCCCTCGGAGGTAATAAATAGAGGATATTACATGAGTGCCCATGTCATACTATCTTTACGACACGAGTGCCTAAATGTTGGTATTTCCCGAGCGAGGGCGAGGGATATACCGATATTTAGGCACGAGTGTCGTAAACATAGTATGATATGGGCACTCATATAATATCCTCTATATATTGAATGGTGAAAAAATTGATACATTTATGTAGGGTATATGTATATCTGTGCATGTGTTGAGTATACGTTTATATCGAAAGGGGGCGGTGGGGTAGCCTAGTGGTTAAAGCGTTGGCTCGTCACGCCGAAGTCACGGGTTCGAATCCCCACATGGGTACAATGAGTGAAGCCCTTTTCTGTTGCCCCCGCTGTGATATTGCTGGAATATTGCTAAAAGCGGCGTAAAACCAAACTCAGTCAGTCAGTCAGTTATTTCGAATAGTGATTGATTATATTGATATACACATTTTGCATGTATCGATATCCCAGTGTCGAGTATACTTTTATATCGAATGGTGATTATATTGATATACCCATGCTGGATATATTTATATATCTGTGTTAAGTATAAACTGATGTCCGCAATGTTGAGTATATGGATGTCCCAGCAATGAGTATACTAATATACCCATATGGTATACAGTTATGAGTGACTGAATTTAGTTTTACGCCGCTTTTAGCAATACTCCAGCAATATCACAACGGGGACACCATGGGCTTCATACATTGTACCATGTGAGGAATCGAACCTAGGTCTTCGGCGTGACGAGCGAACTCTTTAACCACTAGGCTACCCCACCGCCCGCATACCGTTATGAACCTGTTGAATATAGTTACATCCTGTGTTGAGTATACTAGTATTGTTATTCCATATGGTGAGTATACTGATATACTCATGTTGAGCAAATTCATACCGCAATCGGTGTGCACTTATATATGCGAGTCGGAGCGTGCGTGTGTATGTGTAAATGAGGCAATTCACTAGTACGCATGTGTGTGTGTGTGTGTATGTATGTATGTATGTGTGTGTTTATTTGTATATATGATAACAACCCGACATCCTGTGACCATCTGTAAATCTGTAAAATCATGCCTATGAATATAAACATATAATACCGTTAGAAAACTGTTTAAAGTCGCATCACAAAACAAATATTGGAAAATTATTCCTTACATCCGTATCCGTCCATCATGACCACAATGAAATACAACATTCCTCTCTGCCCCACGTAACGCTATACTTTCCTGGTGGGTTTAGTGTGTGTATCAAAACAGTGCATAGCCTTTGTAACTAACAACAAAACCTCTGAACATGCATTGACAGATTTACATGTACAAATACCAGTAAGCAATTTATTCTGTACTTGACAGTACTTCTATAAATAGCTTCCCATGGGATACGTCATTGCTGAGTATTCGGGACGATTTCTGTACACTGCAGCGTTCGTAACCTCGACAGAGCCCTAGCTTGCACCTACATTAAACTTTTATCAGTAAATGTCTGTATGCGATGCTAAGGCTGTTACAGCGGGGATGCTTACCCTGCTTAATCGATGTGCAATGCTGAAGACAAGTCAAGTGACATTTTGATCGGTCTAGGAACACTGCGACATTGTATAGGCGTCTACATGCAATATCTTTATTATTTCGCCATGCAATTTCGCCATATTCTTCATCATCGATTGCTGTCTCACTGACGGAAGGCTCTGGATAACTAAACTTGTAACCCATACAGACCTCGTCTACGTTTACAGTGTAATCGAAATATATACCTTACACGGTCAGTGGACGAAGAAATATATTTTGTATTTTGAGGTCAAATTCGCTGAAAATCGAGATGAATTTATATATTGGGGTTGTGTAGTATGATAATGAACATTTCCGATTTAGCTATAGCGATACAGATGGAAGCTGAGCGTAAACTCTTGGCCTGTCTGTGTCGACGGAATGTAGGTATGGGTGGTGGAAGACATGACGGAGTCAGCTTATGGCAACTATCTGTGTGACTAAGATTGCCGTGTCTGTGAAACTTGACACAATGCTTCCGTCGAGACGCCGGGAACGCTCTCGTTTAACCTTTAGCTTGGTGAAAAACTCGAGCACGTCCAAAACACTGCTGTATGATAAAAAGTCGAAATGTGTTTCAATTTGCAGGGCGCTCTACTTGTCGTCATGGCTCGTAGCGTGACTTTCATACAAATTTCCTAAGAAAGGTTGTTTCGTCGGCCATTAATGTTTCATGGTTGTATATCTGGGTATATTAATTTCATAACCTGTTGTTTCATTTACATTGTTACACAACGATGAAAATAATTGAAATGAGGCAGGCGGCCAGAAACGCTTGCGAATCAATATATACTACACGGTGAAAATGTCTGACTTCGAAGATTCTTATTTGTACATATTTATCAAACTGACAAACAAAACGGACAAGCCCAGACTTGCATTTATTAACCTATAACAATGTTTAACTTCGCGGTGGTTAAAAATCGGTAATTCCCCGATTTTCAAGCCCGTGGGAGACATTGGAACTGCAGACCGACCGGCGTTAATTTGGAAGCCAGTCGCCGACTTAAAAGCTACAGGGCAGTGTACGACAAACAGACGAGCACATCATTGCATTTATTGATTAGATGCTGACACTGTGTCATTCGAATGCTGAGTTTTATCTGTTCGCCTCCCTTATCAAATGCGAATTTTGCCTGAACCGTCTATCCATAGGCGGCGAACTTCAACATGTGACCGGCGAGGTTGATAGATGCGCAGACAAGTTTGTGCGCACTTTACACTGGAGTAATGGCGGATGTGAGTGGAGTGCACTAGGTTGTTATTTCTGCATGTATGAGCACCAAACACCATTTAGAGAATTTATGCATCATACGTCCATGTAGGGAGACCGTGTGTGCGCCGCGTCATGGTACTTTCTTGTGGACACTTGGGTAAGTTATTGCTAATTATGTTGTTAAAAAATGCATCGAGTTTTTTTTGCATTCTACTTCCGGCCTGAAAATCAACTTCCTCCGAATTCAACGACTAATGTTATTTTCTATGCTTTTCCCTGTTTCAGTTCTGTTGACGCATCACATCTCAGTCGTGAATGGTAAGTACGCTTCTTATTTATTGTTTCTTGTCTCCAAATGTGTTTGAACGCATGACGTAACATTAGCACTCGTGCGACATGCAATAGAACCCATTACGTACACCTCTCGGCGCATAGTTAGCGGTTAGCTATATTAAGCGCACTTACGTAATGCTCCCTACTAGAGGAGGAACAGAACCAGTCTCTGGATATGTGCGCTCGATAATTCAACGACAGAATTAGCTGTCCGTTTGATTAGATTAAACAGCTTTTAGTCAGTGAGTCCGGGCGTATATTAAGCTATCTGGACTTTTTTGTTGTTGAAAATGGCGCAGGGAGTTTGTGACCTGTCAAGGTTTAGGGATTTTGCCGCAAGTGTGCATGTGTTATGACTTGGCAGATAAGGCCTTACATGTGAGATTGTTTTGGGCTGTATCATGCGAGGTGATATCTCCAGACAAGACTGTGAACCAGTGCCCTCGCTTGACCTCCCAGCCTTGAGACCTGTCATACTGACAGTCTCTCAACATATGTAGCATGACCTTGTTTTGGAGATTAAAGCAAAACGTTTAAGTACCTGAATACCTCACTATTAGGTACTGTCTGTCGACATCCTCATTATAACATCTTCAATATCTGCTATGCTTCTTGAATAATTTTATTTCACTTGTAGTTCATGGGAGAAATTGTTTTTCAAAGGTTGCAGTATTATTCTGGGGATCTGGGTGATAAGATGACCTTGTCTATTCTTCAAAAGCCTTATAAAGAGGTCTTCAGTGCATTAATTAGCATAGTGTGGAGGGGAACTGCCACAACATTACACCCTTGCATAATGTCCTCTTTTGAAAATGACTTCCAAGATTTATCATGTTTGGGATTTAAAATAACAAGGTTTTGGACAGGTCTATTTCTACTTTACCGACACAGGTTATGCTATCTCATGAAATATTTGTGATGCTCATCCATGTGTTCAAATTTGAAATGGTGGATATTCCATTCGAAACGTGACTGTTGACATAACCTGGGTGGTGACCATGTTTATGTTATATTTCACTTATAGCATATTTTATACAAGTAAATATTACAGCTTACAGTCAGATATGGCCATGTAGGGAAACTGCCTTTGGTGTTATTGTTCACAATTTGAAACATGTAGAAATGTGTTTCAAATTTGTAGCAATACTTTGGTTACTTTGTATTGTTTCATGCCACCGCTGATGACCATTGTGCTAAGTTTCATTTTGCATTTATAAGTAAGTTCAGAAAAAGCAACAATATATTGTGTATTACTCGATATTGAAAGGAACTCTTTGATAAAGAGTTTTATTAATAATTGTTAAAAGTTCAGATCACATTCTCAACATGTTTGTCAAAATAATTGAGATAATTTTGGTTTGGTAGGGAATGGTTGGTCAGTTTCTCTGTTTGCATGACTTTTCACGCAGAATTACCTCTAGAAAAGTTGTCACCACAGCTAACGATGTTTGTTCATTTCATGTTTGGAGTTTGAATTTATGATCATTTTAACATATAACAATATTATATTTTCCTGTTTAACCTTTTTGAAACCATGTGTGACTTGATGAGTATGACGTGGAAGTACTTTCGAGATACAGTTTCATGTATGGGATTAGGGTTAAAAAGGTATCTACACCAAGTAATTTACAGGCTCTTGTGAAGTAGTGAAAACCTTGTATCAGGCTCTTGTGAAGGAACACATGAACGTCCGGGTTAGAATTGATCTTCAGTAACCAATGCTTGTAGTCAGGTGTCAGAAGGCGTCATCGTATAACGAGATCGGGGTCTTGTCAGACTCATGAATGTGCGTGGTTGACTCATGTCATCGTCGGTTCCCAATTACGTAGATTGATGCTCATGCTTTGATCACTGGATTGTCTTGTTCAGATCCGATTATTTGCATGAATGTTGTTAAAACTAAACTCACTATCAGGCTCTTATGAAGGAGTTAAACCTTGTATCAAGGAGTTAAACCTTGTATCATGAATCAGACATCTCTATTTTAGGGGTAACTGTACGGCATTTAAAAGGTATGAATGTTTTGTGTAAATAGGAAAAAGACCTCCAAAATTGAAAGAAAACCCTCATGTGATCATACACCGAGAAGCTTAGATGTTTGAAATTTTTTTTTCTTACCGCCTTTGATACATAAGATATCCCAGTTCTCATACAACTCAACAATGTAACTATCTGTCATATGAATTCCCACAGCAGCTCGGAGTTTAGTAATTGCCTTTGTGTGTAATTATATGGTTAGTTATATAGAGGATATTATATGAGTGTCCATGTCATACTATGTTTACGACAAGAGTGCCTAAATGTTGTGAGGGATATACCGATATTTAGGCACGAGTGTCGTAAACATAGTATGATAGTACGATAACAATGTTAAAGGTACATATAAACTTTAATAGAGGGATCATGAGACCATAACAAGTCGGGAGAATTTCAATTGAAAAGTCAATGACAATGGCGTCACGAGTCCACAAGCGGGACAGGGGTCAAACGACCATGTCACAAGCTCAATAATGGGTATGTCCACTAGTGGTGTTCCGATTAATTGAAATAATCGAAGATTTGTCGCAGTGACCAAATGACCAAGCAATCGATCACATTTTCTCATAATCGAACACAAACGATATTGGAACTAGTGTTTTAGTCTTTGAAACTCTTGTCGATGGAACATATATTCAAAGTTGTCAGAGCCTGAAAATGTGTTTAATTCTTAGAAAACTCACTTCAATAACTGAAAAGTCATGACTTAATAATAGTTGAAGACTCTGAGTAGTTTATGTTCATGATATATTAGTCATCACTTTAAAGTAGCAAGTTGCATCATGTTATACTTATCTGCAACTACAACCTGAATAGAAAAATCTGAGAAATGAGGATAACCAATTTTTTTCGATGATGTCTCGTTGGTAATGAAGCAATCATCAATTGTAAGATTTCAACCAATTCCCAACACTAATGTCCACCATCGGCATTGAGAACAGCAGTGCATTGACGATGCATAGAGCCTATCAAACGTGCAAGGAAGGCTTGTGGGATGTCACGCCAGATTCTCTCAAGGTCTGTTGCAAGGTCAAGGACGTTATCTGGCGGATGAGGAAGACAGCGTAGACGTCGATCCATCTCGTCCCAAACATGCTCTATCGGGGAGAGATCCGGTGAATTTGCAGGCCAAGGCAGTAAGTCAACATTGTCCTGTTGGAATGTTAACCCAGGGCCATGATGTTGCAGAAAAGGAATTGCCACAGGTCGAAGAATCTGATCCCTGTAGCCCACACCAGTTAAGTTGCCCTGAACAATCACCAAAGGAGTTCTTTGGCGTGCTGTTATTCCACCCCAAATCATCACGGAACCACCACCAAAGCGATTCCTCTCCAAGACACAGGCCTGTGCATAACGTTCTCCCACACGTCTATAGGCACGTTGACGTCCATCACTATGGGAAATGTTAAACCTGGACTCCTCTGTAAAAACAACATTTCTCCACCAAAACAAGGGTCTGTGGACATGATTTCGTCACAACATTCGGCGAGCTTGTCGATGACGTTGTGTCAGGATAGGCCGTATGGCGGGACTTCGTGGTCTGATCCTGTGATGACGTAAACGTTGTCGAACTGTGTTGGGGTGGATACTAGGGGGTACCTACTAGGGCTGCAATGAATACACTATGTGGCGAATATGATACGTATCATGAATTTTGGGTAACGAATACGAATGATTATTCACGAATACAATATTGTTGTTAAGTGATTGATGCACTTTATGGAACGCCCATGTTGACAGTTTTGATTTGTCACAGCAATAACCAGTGATCTCATGACACTCAAATTTGGTATGTAATAGTTATAGTCGACAGTACCATGTGCAGTCTTGGCAAACTAACATGACTTGCACTTCTGCAATGCTAGTACATGTTCCATTCTTGCATATCTCACTTTGGAAAGGACATAAGGGTTCAAGTAAAACATGCTCCCTTAAAAAAATTGTAAATATTCGTTAATATTCGGTTCTGGTGACCACGAATAACGAATTGAATTCATGAAGGGCTATGGTTCGATTCAGTGAATATGCGAGTGAATCGTTACAGCCTTAGTGGATACGTCGAAGTCCTGGGATGGTTCAGGCAGTCATCACTGCAGTCTGAAACCTGTGGCGAAGATGGGTCACCCTTATCCATCTGTCCTGTCTTGGCGTTGTTACACGTGGACGTCCAGAACGTGGCCGATCGATGACGTCATTTGTGTTCTGGTAGCGTCTCACCAGTGCAGAAATGGTGTTCCGGTGGCAGTGGAAATGTGCAGCCACTTGTCGTTGAGACATTCCCCATGGACCATCCCAATGGCCTCATGACATTGTGCAGACGTGAGCATTGGCATGCTATGCGTTTCAATAGCCGTATAATTTTTTGAACGATCGCAAGGGCAGGGGTTGGGCTTTCCAAAGTGACAGTATTGTGTGGCATTCATTTGCTCTGTTTCTCTTTCCCGGAATGCACGTGCAACGACGTATTGCACGTCTCAAGGACGAACCCACTGACGTCACGGAACGTGGCACGTGCATGCATGTTGGATACATGTCACTAATCTCTGAGTTTAAATCCTTATGTGTCTACAAAGGTTTGATAAAGTTAGATTTTAAATTTTTGTATGCAGAGTTTCTTTATGTGCCGAGTATATTTTGAGACATTTAATACAATGACTGATTATGCTTTTCTACGGGTATCATACTCTTTTACATATCTGAACATAATCTTTATGAAAGAAATACACGTAAGATGTTAATCAATACATGTGACATATTCAACTCACAAGAAAAGGCATCAAATGTCTTTGAGATGACCCCTTGTGCTTGTAGGCAGCACGTGCATTTCATGCCAGGTGAGTCGATGTTCTGTCATCATACCTGGCTGAGCGACCTAATTGCCATCAATAGTCTGATACATTGTTTTCAGCACAGCTATTCGTAATTTTTCTAAGTTTTGCCCGATTTTA